CTCGGTGACATGGGATTATAAATCTATTCCTTACCAACAGTTGTGTGAGTGGTGTCTGAAATTGAGGAAAACTGTTCTTCCTCCTAAGGTAACTATTTTAAGGCTGACCTTGATTCTATTATTTTCTTAAAGGAATAATTTATTCTTACAAAACAAATGTTATCAAGAGATTAGTTATATCACAAAGAAGGCTATCTAGGTTTTTAAAAGACTGCAACAAATAATTCAGGAAGTCATTTATAAATAAGGAAATACGTTGGTGGGAAATAGAAAGTCACTAATACATTAATCCATCCTGTGGCAAAACGCTAAACTATAAACAAATCAATTTACTTATTTATTTGTTTTTAATAAACAAATCAATTTAAACATTTGTTGAGGAATTTAAACAGATTCAGAGCAGCAATACTGTATATGAGATTTAAGGACCAATACAGCTAAACAATACCTTAACTAAACAATTTTCCTTAATATGAGAGTTAGTATTTCTAATGTTCCCTTTAGACAAGATCACTTATACACAAAAGTTCATGATTTCATACTTTCATTCAAAGTTATTTACCAATGTTCAGCAATAAACTAGCTGTGAGGACACACAGGAGCTACGATAATATCTCTGAAGAGCGAAATATATTTCTTTTTGTTGGTTAGTGAAAAGAATGGTCCTGGAGTAGAATCCAGAGGGGGAAAAACTAACTAATTTTTAAAGAGACAAGTGTACATGTATTAAAAAGGGTTTTATGTGACACCTGAGAAATTTTAAAAACCTGCTGATGACCTTAATATTCTAATCGTTGGCAAAACAGATTCTTGGCTTTTTCCTAATAAAATTAAGGCATTAAAAAAGAAAGAAAGAAAGATTAACCAATGACAATATGTTAGGTATTAATGAAAATAGTTCATAAGCAGTAAGTTCAAGGGCATATCACTCAACATGCAACGCTACCCATATTCTCCAATGCAGATTTTGAAGAGACCAGACTTCTTTTTGTGTCTTCATATTTACGGAACACAGCTCCTGTTTGCCGTTTTTAGAGGTTCATTGTAAACCCTCTAAAGGTTTCTTTATCATTTAATATTATAAATAATTATGTTCCTAGGCAGCAGTTCAAAGCTCAGTACAGCACTCGTACAACACCACAGGCAGGTCAGATGACCTTTCTCCAATTCTCCTCTCTCCAGTGCTGAGGACAGACAAAGTGATATGTCTGTCATACGCCATTACCATTAGAACAGAATCTTGTTCTTTTATTACAACTGAACTCCGCCAGATTTCTCAGCAGGAATGCTAAGTGAAATCAATGTCTTGGATTTCCAGGCTGAGCTTGGAGGTCACAGCCACTCTATCATTTCTCAGCATTATCCTTTCTCGTGCGTGCACACACTCCCCAAGCCTCCAACTGGCACACAGCAGATTGAAAACAGCATGTATCAGAGGACTCATGCTGTACAATTTTACAGTCTTTTGGCGCCCCCTCCTTTTGACTCCCCCCTTCCATTTTTTTGCAAATTGCAAATAAGTTTTGTTTGTGTCCTTCTCTAGAGTTGTGAGTCAAAGGCAAATGCACACCTAGGAAGAAGGGCAGGCAATAAAACCCAGAGAACATGGCTGATTTCTGACAGCTGCCAATAAGATCATTTTCCTTACATCATCACCTGGATGTGGCTGACAATTCCAGTGCTCCAAACAATAAATAGATCTTAAACGTGAACCATCAGTTTGGTTTACGCCAGGTAGGTATGCAGCCACACAAAGCCCACTGATAAAATAATTCTATTTTATAGTAAAATAGACACGAAAATTCACCAATAAAACACACAGAAAATACCCCAGGACACTAAGAATCGACTGTTTAAAAATATAACAACAAAGGATAGCTATTTCATAGAAGTCAAGTAGCTTTGTGAAGTGAAAATGTTTATAATGTCATGTATAAATGTCAGTTTCAGGCTACAAGGAGCTAAATTCATGTATTGAAATGGGTCCTCCTTATTTACTGTCTTTTTGGATATGTTCTTCATTAAAATGACAAGAGTAATATTTATTGGTCTATTTTTAATGTGCTAAACTTTACCGCTGAGCTAAAACACAAGCACATTTAAGACATCTTTTCTGACAATAAGAGGGGTTGTAGACAGTATGATAGTGGACACTGAGCAAAGGGACATATTTTTATTAAATTGTGTTACTACCTAAAAAGAGGCACTTTATTGTTGGTCAAACTTTTTATTCATTTTACCCAACTGCAAATGGGAAGAAACACAACACCTACAACTTTCTTAAACTTTACATGATAGAAAATTCATGAAGGCTAATTTTGAAAAAGTTACTGAATTTTAAAGACAAACTATAAAATATGCTTTAAAATCGTGTATAATCATAGGTATAGAAACATAATTCACTTCTTCACTAGTACCGAAAAATGGAGGTATATGAATCTATAGAAAATGGAAGAAGATTCCCACTGAGGTAGAAAACCTGTCTGCTCTGCACTTAGTCTGTAGGGTTCTATGACCTAGAGCCATAGAACTCATAAAGCAGGGTGCCAGTCTTGGCAAAGCGAACCTGCAAACACTTGGGCATTTGCCATAGTTAACTAAGAAAAGTATCACTGTGGCAACTGCTCAGTAAACCTTTGAATGGATGAATGAATGAATGAATGAATGAATGAATGAATAGACTTATAAATAGCTGATTGACATCAAAAGCTTCATGATTATTTGAGTAATTTGGGGAGAAGATACTAATGATAAGAAGTTATTCGAGAGGTAAGGAAAAAATCCCATTAGTTACTTACAAGTAAAGTATATACTCTAAAATCATAAAATGAAATGTCCTAATGCAAAGCATCATTATGAAACATGATGTGAAATCACTTTCATAAATCAAGGTTAAAAAAAAAACAGAGAATAATACCTCACAGAATTATTTGTGTATGACAGTGACTAATGCTGCTACAGCTATTTACTTTACTCAAAATTAGCCTGTACATGCAATACATTACATGTGGGTCCATGAAGACCCCAAAATATCATTGCTTTAAAACCAAATTTTATTTAACAAATGTTATAATTATTACCAAGTTTTAAAAACTATGTTCTACTGTGATAATAAAGAAAAGCAGACCAGATCTTTGGTGTACACTAAGCACAGAACATGTGAGGTCCATTACACAGCTGAAATCGATCTTAAAAAGTGAGTTTGTACATTTCATAATATCCCAGCAGTGGGGACAATAATTTGAACTACATATTTGCACATATTCCTGGTGAATCACGGTCTAAGTTCTTTGTCCAGGTTAGGTTGTACTTTCAAATGTATTTACCTCTTAATAACACGGAAAAGGCCTCAAGAGTTTTGGGGAGATGGATGCTGGAGTATACTCTCCCAAATGATCTCTTCTCTTTCCCAATTCACCCTCTGAATTAATACATTAACTGTGTAATGCATCTGTCAGGGGACAGAGCAGGGTTAAAAATAAATTCTTGGGAGTTTTTTTCTCTTTCAATACTTTTTAAATTTTTTTTCTCTGTGCATTCCTTTCAACTGTTGAGACTACTATTATCCTGTTACTCTTTAGATATTTCCAGTACAGCATTTGGGAAAGGGAGAACAGAAATAATTTTCTAGGTAATTCAGAAAAAGATAAGACATTGTTACTTTGGGGATAAATTAACTGTGTCAGTTTTCTACTTAATATTTTCTAATAGAAAATATGTGTTGACATTTCCCTGAGTAATCTCAGGGAAAAATACTTTATGGTTACTCTTCTGCTCTCTTTCACAGAGAGTTTAATATATTCATATATCATCATTTAAGATCTGAAGATCTTACAAACACAAAAACATTTCAAATTAAAATTTTTCTGCTTTTCTCTTCTAAGATGAAGAACAAATTATTTGAATCCTCTCCCTGCCAATCCCTTTCCATGTTCTCTCAAGAAATGTTTCCTTGGGGTGCTTGGGTAGCTCAGTCCGTTAAGCGGTCGACTCTTGATTTCAGCTCAGATCATGATCTCAGGGTCCTGGGATTGAGCCCAGTGTAGGGCTCCATGATCAGCGCGGAGTCTGCCTGAGGATTCTCTCTCTCTCCCTCTGCCCCTCCCCCTGTTCATGCTCTTTCTCTCTCTAAAATAAATAAATAAATCTTTAAAGCCCAGAGAGTCCATCTTCATTAAAAAAAAAAAAAAAAAAGCTTCCTTAGTTCCCAAAATAAAACTATTTCTAAATAGTCTTACTTCTAACACTATTATTATCTTCGTATCTTTCATGAAAATCTCATTGGATGAATATCTAAACTTATATCCATACTGCACTTCATTATAACAGTTACTGATATGCCATGGATGTACATATATATATATATATATATATATATATATTAAGATTTTATTTATTTATTTGAGAGAGAATGAGATAGAGAGAGAGAGAGCATGAGAGGGGGGAGGGTCAGAGGGAGAAGCAGACTCCCTGCTGAGCAAGGAGCCCGATGCGGGACTTGATCCTGGGACTCCAGGATCATGACCTGAGCCGAAGGCAGTCGCTTAACCAACTGAGCCACCCAGGCGCCCTGTACTCATATATTTTAAGGTGTATTTCAGTTGCCCCTTTTCTGGGAAACCCCTCCCAGGATCTCTCATTGAAGGTAACATCTTTGTCCCAATAACTTCCACTGCACTTACCTGTAACTCTGTAAGACTTTGTATCATAGAATATGGGTATCTATTTTATAAGACTGTAGGCTACCTGAGTATAACATATCTATCTAAATCTTTGTATCACACACATTTCCTACTATAGCTATCCATGCATGCTTGTTGAATAAATGAATGGCTAAATGTATGTGTGTTATTGATCCTAATTAATCCCACTAGACTCTTATCTCCTTGAAGACCCAGAGGTTAACCCAGTTGCCGGCACATAACAGACATTCAATAGATGTCATTGAATGAAAAGGAAAACTCTAAATGGCAAAACATGTAGCTTTGTCAAAAGGGTACCTTGCTTTTGGGCGGTGGGCTGTTTGTGCTCTTGTCCGTGTGAATGCTGGTAGGAGATACAGCAGCACCGAGGTTGCCTTGGGGTATGCCTGGGAGCTTTCCTCCTGGAGACACCTGCATTGCAGCTAGCTGGGCAGCATATAACTGCTACAGAAGAAAAGGGCAGAGAGAGACAGAGAGAAAAAAGACCATCAGTAATAAAATAAATGCACCTCTCAAAGTATCTCTATTCAGATGTGGTAGTTTTCCTGTGGGTGTTCTTGTTTACTGCTCTGGAACATTTAAAGAAAGAAGTTGTCACCTCAACTTTCATGACTTCATTCTCTGGAGAGAAATGACAGACACCACATATGAAGGATTTCAGCTTCAGGATGTCCAGAGACTCAAAACAAATAACAGTCATTCATATTTACTCTTTCCCAATGTCTAGGGAAGACAAGTACATCATATTATTTGGTCAAGACCTCTTTTTGCTCTATTTTAAAATGTACACAGTGTGTTACAAAAGAATGCAACTTCATATGCAAAGTAATTTTCTTAGTATCCATATTGGTTTAAGTTTAGTACACCTCCTTTTTTTGACTTGTTGCAATGGGCACCTGTAACAATTTTTTTTTTCTAATCATTAGTTGTATAGAAATACTTAAAAGCCATTGAGGGGGAATGAAAGGAGAGTATTTGAAGAACATTATCTGGTCAGTCTACCTACATTGAAAAAATTAACTGGATGTTTGCCAGAAGTCCACTTTACGTCATGATATATAAACACAGACAAACCTGAAATTATCTTGAGGATTAGGGTTTTAAGAATACTGTCTGAAACATGCACTCTTCCACTAAGCCACCACATAGTAATTCTTATTAAATAACCAGTAAAAAATTCTTCAACAAATAAATTTAATAATAAAAGAAAATTTCACTTTGATAATAATTGTCATATGATATGGTATCTTAAACAAAGAGGTTGCTTTAGATTCAAATGTTTAAATTAATTCTCTTTTCATCTCCATTTAGCTGTTTGCGAAAATTTTAAGATCTGGATAGAAAAGAAATTAACAGGTGTGTGTGTGTGTGGATTTGTGCATGTATGTGTGTGTATGCAAGTTATAACTTCTGTAATAAAAAGACTGATACTAAAGAAAAAAGCTCTCAAAGGAAAGTACTGTGACATAGCTTATCTTGATTTTTCTCTGAAAGAAATTTCAAAGGATAAAACTGCTCAGGATAAGCCAGAGACCCTGATAAGTGGGGTCTCTTTAGAAATGAAATATTGAAAACTAAATGCAGGCATATATTTACATGAAAATACACATACTCTGTTCACAGTTTCCACATACTATGGTCTAAATGAATCAGATCATTAAAATTATTGATAAAATTATGGGGTTTTTTTATGACAACTAACAAAAGATATATTCCAGATGAAGAAACACCAGAGGAGTATATTTGTACTATCAATAATGAGTGTTACTTCTCCCCAAGTTTGTGTGTGTGTGTGTGCACATTGGAATAATTATATTCTTTATTTTAGTGAGAAAGAAAAATTAGATTTAATTCATAAGTCTTAGATTGCATAAATTAGAGTAAAGGGATATGATGTCAAATACAATGACTGGGAGTTTATCATTTTTTTTAAGTATCAGAATTGATCCATTTCCCACACTTGTGTTAAAAACCTTTGCATTATTTTCTACAATTCAAAAAAGTAGTATTTTTTTATCCTCATCCTAAACTGTTTATGAAGTTACTGAGAAAATAACTAATATCCAAGATACACTTTGCAAATTAAAATTTTGTCCAGTAAAATACATGTACTGAATTACATATACTGAATTAAAAATATTTTAAAAATAGGCTATATAGCTATATTATACATTATAAATTTCATGTTGTATTATATACTATATCCTTGTCTTTAAAAATTATTTCAGTGGGTATTATTCCTAGAAGCTAACAATCCATTAGTGGTTTAGTATATACTAAATATAAGATTGCCTCATAATTACTAAAGATTGACATAAGATATTTTAATATCTGTAGGTAAAAAGAAAAATGTGAACAAAATAATTATTCAAAATTTTAATTTGATTATTAAAGAATTATTTCATAATTTGAAAAAATATTGACTATTTGTGTTATTTAGATAATAGATGGACCAATCACTCATAAAAGGTGATTCAATGCTTAAATATCAATCTCTATAGACAGACCCACAACTTCCAAAGAAGTATAAGAACTACTATTGAAAACACAAGCATAAACATACTCTGAAACACTTTATTGAATGTAAAGGTTGCAGATGGCATCCACTTGGAATAAAAAATGTCCTACAGGGGCGCCTGGATGGCTCAGTTGGTTAAGTGACTGCCTTCGGCTCAGGTCATGATCCTGGAGTCCCGGGATCGAGTCCCACATCGGGCTCCCTGCTCGGCGGGGAGTCTGCTTCTCCCTCTGACCCTCCCCCCTCTCATGCTCTCTCTCTCTCATTCTCTCTCTCTCAAATAAATAATAAAATCTTTAAAAAAAAATGTCATACACATTCTTTCCTCATTCAAATAAATGCATTATTTTTATCTTTTTAATTATGAAATTAAGGTTTATCTTAATTAAACTGTCCTAAGGGATACTTTTGAGTAGAAAAAAATAAATTTGTAAAATAGAAGGACTCATTTAAATATTTTTACAAGAACAGTATGCTATCATCCACTTTGCTGCTACTTTTAAAGACTATAGAGATTTAAAGTAATTTATGATGAAAATGTCACAAGCGTATTAGTCCATCAGAATATGGTTAACATTGGGTAGCTCTTCATTCCTCTTATCTCCCATATCCCATTCCTCATATTTGTCTTTCTCCTGCTTCACCAAGGTTTAGAAGTAGGAAATAGCTATTTCTAATACATTTTATTTTGTGTGAAATATATGTGTTCCTTAAATTTACATTATATTACAGAAGCATTAAAAAGGTCTCAAATCTTAGAGAATCTAACACACTTCAAATCTACACAGGTAAAATAAACGAGAAATTTTAATACTTCTGGTTCCTAATTTGAGCTAATTCGCAAGTTAAAAGGAAATTTCAGTAGTTTTAAAGAAGCTGACCGTGTTTCTCATAGCTGGCTACTACGTAAGGGTGGGCAACTTACCAAAAAGAAAAAAAAATGTTGCTGGGACTCATTTTAACACAACCTTTTAAAAAATTAAGTTCATTTATCTATGCATGTGCGTGCTGATTAATGTGTGTGTGCTGACTAATTTTAAAAACAAGGGAATCAAGGGATGATGGATATTTTATTTAACTTATTACATGCTCTTGAAGCAAAATAAAGAATAACAATACTTACTTGTATTGAGTGAGTTCTACAATCACAGAACCACTGGTTGACCTTGTTGAGAGGGAAGGGTCATGGAATGTAGTGGCAATTGGAAGGCCACTGGAAGTAAAAAGCACCCTGTGAACTATAGAACTCACTTCCATATGATAGACACACCTATAATTATGTGTGTATCTGCATCTTAACTATACAAATTTTTTAAACAAAAATCTGGCTAACATTTTCCTTTAAAAGATTGTGGATAGGGGCGCCTGGGTGACTCAGTCATTAAGCGTCTGCCTTCGGCTCAGGTCATGATCCCAGGGTCCTGGGATCGAGCCCTGCATCGGGCTCCCTGCACAGGGGGAAGCCTTCTTCTCCCTCTCCCACTCCCCTGGCTTGTGTTCCCTCTCTCGCTGGGTCTCTCTCTGTCAAATAAATAAATAAATAAATCTTTTTAAAAAAAAAAGTTTGTGGATAAACTCAGAGTTAAATATAAGGTGCATTATGATAAATGTACTTTTTTGAAAAAGTTAGGTTGTTCTAAACATCAGAAACAAATTGGGAGATCCTAAACATAAAAAGCTAAAGCTTAAAGAGAGCACTCACTTCATGAGGTTAACCAGACTAACAGAATAACTGTTTTGTCTTGCAGAATAACTTTACTCTTATCTTGAAACTCTTGTGTTAGGGGTTTATTTTAATCTCTAAAACTCCCCCACTCCACAGATCATTAGGTTTTCCACTCTTTATATTACTTAAAATATTGCATTCCTATTCCCTTCCCCTTCCTTCATTCCTACACCTACTTCAGACAATGATTTTTTTTTTTTAAGAAAACAATCACATAAAATTAAGCTGGAATCTATCCATTGATTACTTAGGGTCCTCCCAGTGCTTATGTGTACATAAGTGTGTGTGGGTATGTGCGTAACTCGCTTTTGTTTCAAATTGTTCCATAAACCCACATTTTTTGTCTCTTTAGCTCCTTCAAGGACCCATGGTTTCCTGCTTCTAGTGTACTTCTACTGGAATGGTTAAAAGTAAGGTAAACCTCAATTCTAATACCAGTTCTGAACTAGTCACCTTGGGCAACTAAACTGAGCCACACAATTCCTTAATCTGCAAATTCAGGATAAAAAAAAATGACCTTATAGAGTTGCTGTGAGAAATAAATCACATATTATGTATAAAATACTCAGAAAAATACATGGAAAAGAATGCTTTATCAATAAGTAATAGTTATAATTATTAATTAATTAATTATACCAAGTAAGAAACTGACTAGGTAATATATATATGCTGACTTCCTACTATATACTCTGGACTATACTATGTATAGTGGAGGCTACAAGCAATGTATAAATATAGTTTCTTCCCTAAGTCAAGATTAATAAACATAAAACAATGAGAGTATAAGTGTACTATAACTGTATGCCACTTTTAAGGGTGTGAAGGGAAAGGAAATGAGTCAGTGTGAACTGATTTTTCATAGAAGAGATGTAGCTAAGCTGGAAGTAAAAAAAGGAGGTGGCATTCTAGGAAGGGAGAACAATTTAAAGGCACAGGAGCAGGAATGAAGTAGCTTTTGCAAAGGGAATACAGAAGATGGTGTGGAACAGGGAATGGGAGAAAGGACAGTGACCTGATTGAGTGCATAGCCCAGGAAGAGTAAAGAAGCACTGGGTCTGTAGGCTAGTTCACCTTATAGAAGATCTTCAAATAAAGACAAAGAGTTTAAATTTAATACGTAGGCAAGAGAAAGTCACTGAATTTTTGAAAGCAATATATGTGATTGTTTTAACTAGAATAAAGACATGACAAGGTATCAGT